TTCAGCAGCAGTAACTTGTGACATGTGCCACAAGCACCTTCATAATTTCATATGGACAGTAAATTCAATTCAAGTAGACTTGAAAATAAGGTAAGTATCTATTATTTCTAAAGTATATAATGGAACTCCTGCTATACCAGAAGTCTGTCTCTTTCCTTTTTAGAGTAATTTTATGACCTGCTAATAATCATGGACGATACAAGACCGTTTAAACACCGCTTTCAGGCCTCAGCCCTGAACTGAACAAAGCATAGTCCTTGAAGGCCAACTTTACAGATAAAAACTCTGACATTATTATATGCTGAAGTTTCAGGAGCTCAAAGCTTTTTCAGTGTAATGAGCTTCTCACTATATCCCACGTAATTGTTGTGAATAGATGATACTATCCTATGATGTTTTTATGAAACTAGGCCAAATATGCATGTGACTAAACATAACTGTTCTCCTTTCATGTATTTCACAAGGTTCTGATCCTATATTAATTTATATCTCCTTGTAGCATATTTAAAAAGAAATACAGCACATGTATTTCAAGATATATTCAGGTTCAATTAACCTACTCATTCATTCTAAGTCCGTATTTAGGAAATGTCTGCCAATGAATCACTGAGAATTAGATGGATTATCTTCATAACTAAGGTGAACCATAGAAAAAAAATGTGTAACATTGCTTCAGATTCCAGTTTGCACCAAAATGCTTCTAAAATATTGAATAAAAATGACAGAATGATAAATTTTATCTGCAGTGTGACAGCATCAATCATCTGGTACACCCAGCAAACTGTTAAAACAAATTAGATTCAAAAAGTATGAAGGATGAAATATGACTTGTTTTCATAAGTATTTAGCTCCTATGGGATACAGCTGATGTGTGCTGACAGGGTCATGGCAATGAGGCCAATCAGGAACACCTTGCCAACCCAGCCTCCAAATCTCACTCTATCCCCTTACACAGCAGTTCTAATACCGCTTTTTCTGAATGAAAAACCAGGCAGAGTATCATCAGGTAATCGTGGTGAAGTCCTTGAATTTCAAATGTAAGCATAGTCTTTTTGTTGCAGTCTTTTGACTTTTTTTTTCCCTTCCAAAGACCATACAAGCAAGCAACTCCCATTGACTTCAAAAGAAATGGCATCCCCAAGGCAGAAATGAGCATTTTTCCTGTTCTTTTCCACTCTTTCTGTGAGATGTGCTTAATTTTAGAAACTAAAGCTGCACTGTCAACATAGCAAAAAGCTGTAGAAAATATCAACTTCTCCATCTTTGATATCTGCCAAATCTTTCTCTTGCAACGTTCTCTGACCTGAACACCTGAGGCTCCAAATGTTTTCATCTGTCTTGCTCCAGTTTGCCCCTTCCTGAAAACACTATGTGTTAGACACGGAATATCTGCAGCTGCTATACGCAACCTTTTCTACGGTACAGATAATTCCACGTATTGCATTGATAAGAGTTCAAACTATATTTAATCTGCAGATGCCAAAACCACTAGTGGGTGCATAAAACTGTACTCAAACAATTTGTGGAAAAGACTGTGGCCTCTGAAATGAATAGTCAAGGTTATCTGTCTTTGTGATGATTCTTGTGATGATGTTGTAATTGATATCAAGGTGTATACACAGTTATGATATTTTCATTTCAACTTCCTAAAGATGCTGAATCTCCCTGTTTCTGTTGGCAGTAATATGCAAATAGCCTTAGATTATGCCATACAGAGGGTTCCCTCCTTTTCTTTAGTCAACAGTAAAATACTTCTGGCAGCTCTAATTCAAAGAGAAACAGCTAACAAATTTCAGGTAGTCTGTTTTAAAAGCTTCTCATCATATGTGAACAGATGAATTATTTCCAGCACAGTTCCACAAGCACAAGTGCTTCCTTCCTGGTTTGGACAATTACTGAATACCAGAATCTGTGGAGGGTGGTAATCAACTTCTGATAAAGTCCCTAGGATAAATGTGGCTTTAAGAAATCACATTCTGTCAAGTGGCACGGCACTATGATCCCTCTGCAGAGAGGCTAATCTTTGCCAACCACAATCCTCAAACCAGCGAAACTAGCTACGTGTGACTTTGGCCCTCGGGTAACCAAGTTTTCCACCTAAGACAGACAGACAAAAAGACTTGAGCACTCCTCTTTCTTGGTTTTACAGGCTGAACTCTGATCTCTTTTGTATGAACGAATGACAGCCAACTAGATACTTCTGAGTAATTTTCCCCAGAGACACACTGTGTACCAGGTAAGGTACACTGGCAAAATCCAAAAGGGACTTCTGTAAGAGGTATGTTGCCATTAATTTATACTCCTGTTGGAGCTGGCTGACATGATGAAACACTCTGGAGGCTAGCCCTGAAAAAGCAATCTTCCTAAATGCTTCTTTGGAAAGATCCTTAGGAAATCAACACTTAATAGGGCTGTGTACAGGTGGTTTAGCTTCTATAGCATTGTTTTTCGTTTTTCACTTTAAGATGACAATGCAAAAGCTTTTTCATCCTCAACTTCCAAACACTGTACGAGAACTTGTGTAGCTTTTCTACCTCATGTGCCTCAGAATATTTTTGCTACTGAAGCTGCTGATGTCATATTTGACATCCTTAAATCCACAAGAAATCCCAGATACTTGATCAAGCGGCTTTGGGGTGCAATATGAAAGACATAGGCACTTGATCTTCCATGGTATGCCAGCCAAGCAGTTGGTAATCTTCCAGTCTAATTTCCTGTTAGATTTCCAATTAAATCTCTCATAAAGGAAGGAAAAAATAAACCAGGGCAAGGTCTCAATTTTTTAATCTATTTTGTACACTCTTTGTGTGAACAAAAATCAGTAACAAAATTTCATCAGTAGCATCTGGACTACATTTTTGTTTCACACACAACAGAACATATCTCTACAAAGATTTGTGCAATCACACAGAACTAAGTAGTAATAATAATAATAACGACAATATTTAATATGAGAAGTTAGCTCGATCATACATATTTCAGATGTCATCCTACTTTCAGCTGGCTTATTCACACCAAACTTGAAGGGAGAACTAGGAGATCCAGAAGCTGGAAGAAAGACTATTGGTGATGGCACCTTCTCCTGAGTTCTTAAACTGACATTGCTGAACCTTCTTTTAGAAATAACAGAAAAAACCACAGAATACTTCCAAGCTAAGCATGATCTGGTAGGTACCTGAACAGGTTAGTCGAAATAAGTCATATTCCTAAAAGACTTCTCAAAAAGGCAGGCACCAAGATCTACCGGTACTTCTACGCGATGTCTTCTACAACACATTATGTTATCACTACAAAGATGACCTGGTAACAACCTTGAGCCTTTTTTTATAAATAATTGTGTGCTGTCTCTAATGTCCACTAAAATCAGAGAGGACTAGCATTTTTAAATTCCCATCCAAAAGATTCAAGTTAGAGGAATACCAAATAACACACTTAACGACACTTGAAGCCACTAACTGCATCTTTACAACTGGGTACTGCAGCTGGCTTTATCCTCTTAAAAGGAACACGAGACATCTATCAAATTTCTAGGATATGCATAATGGATGAATCCAACAAACTTTTGCAGGCAAAGGCAGTGATTTAAAAAGCAACACTTGTGAGAAAAATGTCAAGGGTCTAGCTTGCCCTATCTTGAATGAGCCTTCAGCACTATTCACTAATGTCGGCAGAAAAGGTTTGGTTCCAATCTACAGCTACACACCTCTGTGGCCAAAAATTCAAAGTCTGTCTCTTAAGCTGCTTATACAGAGTTTGACCATTTCTCACATGATCCTCCCCTCCCAGAGACTATTGGATGACTGATGTTTTATTTCATATTGGATTAGACACATAAAAGCATAAAAAATTCCACTGAGAAAGCCACACCTATTGTATACATTTTCTTCTACTTTTAAAAATGTTTTATTACCTATGTACCACATAGAACTTCAGTCATCTATATTTAACTAGAAGGGCACATTTTCTACCTCATTTGAAGTTAACTATTGACTATGCATTCAATAATTGACCAGTGCATGTGTTTCAAATAAGAGTAAGCAAAATCCAAGAAATGTAATTCTTGTCAGTCCTCAATTTTACTTATCCTGGAAAAGCAGACTGTGATCTAGTGGAAGCTGGCATGTTCCCATGGCTTGTTTGAAGATAGGATTCTGCCTGAGGTATTTCAAATCTGTTCTTGCTAGTTATCTACCTAAGGGTGACATCAAAACCCTGCTCAATTTGGCAGTAACTTGGCCAAATCTATGTTCGGTTCAGCGAACATTTGTAACATGTTCCTCCTCCCCCTACATCTTTCTTCCTACCTGCTCTCCGCTATGAAAATGGAAGAGAGCCAAAGTATCCAGTTAAAGAGCGAGCTGACGTGATCCCAGCTCTGAAATCATCTCTCTCCTGATGATAATCGGCTGAGTTTTCATTTACTAAATCCTGTCACACTGAAATCTTCAGTATCAAATGTACCAGCTGGCTCTGGCTGTTCTGCCTGCCCCTGTCACCGCTGCAGGAACTGCACTGCCAGAAGGACACCTGTCAGAGCTGACGCGCTGTAAGCATGGCATAATCAGACCACCGTGTTGGTGCTACCTGAGCGTTATCACATCTGCATTGCTGCCTCTTGCTGTGTTTCTCGTAAAGGCAGAAGCCACTGGCAGGCAATTTGAGGGAAATGGCTAGTGCTCTGATACAGGTCTGTGTAAGACTTCCATGGACACAGATATAGACGTGGGAGAAAAGGGGGTAAAAATAGCACGCGCACATTTCTTCTGGCTCAAGAAGATTGCCCAAACATAGTGTATGAAGAGATGGCCCTGAAGGGGTAGAGCGAGTCTGACCTTGTAGCTGGAAGATGATGACTGAGGAGTGCTCATTGTTTTGGGCCTTTCTTTTCATTTGGGGGTTTGGTGTGGTTTGTTT